GAGGCCCAGCCACCGGCACCCTATCGGGGAACCAATGTGATATGCCAAGCCTGCGTGGGGAGCTCAGAGGAGGCACAAGCTTTGCATGCCAGTTGCAGAAGAGACAAGGATAGCGTTCGTAGACAATCGAAGGAAACAGAGACATTGTTTGGTTACAAGACCATATACAGTACAGTAGTGGAAATGTGCAATGACGGTCTATTGGCACTGCAATGCTCACCAACGCTTCGCACATTCTGCATGTCACTGCAGCGAGCACATGGATTCCATACTACCATTTGCTGTACCGTGTACGGCCGAGTGTTTGATTTCAGAACAGGCTTTTGTAGTTTGGACGCCGGTTTGTCGTGAACGGTACTCAGGAGCCGATTTGCTTCGAAATGGAGAGCCCGAATGGAGTGCAACAGCCAGTGTCTCAGCCCACCAGTAGCCGAGTAACCAATCACATAGAAACATACTCACCCAATCGGGATCATGGGAAACAATTTCTTGCAGAGGCTTGCCCTCCAGTTGAAGTGGGTGAAGAGCGAGGCTGGAAATTATGGTGGTTACCATGTACACTCATTGCTTGGTTTCGTCTCTCTATGTCCTTTTTCGGTGAAAGGTTCGCCTAAGAGTAATGCTGGTGGAGAACGGCAAGTGCTGGCCTGAATATGTGCGTGGGTGGGTGTGTGTGTGTGTGTGCGTGCTGTGCCGTGCTGTGCCGTACCGTGCCGTGCGGTGCGGTGCGGTGCCGTGCGTGCAACATGAAATGCATCCACAATACCAGTTGCTTGGTTGCTTTTGCGGCAACTGTGTTGTTCGTCAGCGCTTCAATATCATCAATCAACTCATGGACCTATTGGCCACTGAGGTGCCCTTTTCCAGTCACTTGGCAAATGGTGAGTGAAGGGAAGTGACGATGGAGATGGACCGACATCAACACAACCGGCAGACTGCCAACAGACTGAGCCATTGTCCAAGGTGCCAGAGGGCTCTCCAAGCCGCACTTTGTCTGTGGATGTCCTGGCCCTTTGCAAAGTGCCTCTGCTTGCGACTCGTGGCTCTCAGGCAGAGCTGGTCGTCATTCAGGACATTTTGAACTAAAACTCACTAAGAAAAAATCATTTGGATGACATCCTGTTGGTGATTGTCCAGACAGTTGTTGTGAAATTACAATAAATGTACTGAAGCGACTATATATATAATATATACTTCTATATATATATGGTTTGATGATGTTCGTCGACGTACTTGATTAGTCAGAGACGCAAGTCAATTCTTGCCTGAAGCCGCAGGTCAAAGTCGGTGCTGGCTGGTATCCGGTATTCTCCTGAGTGGGATGTGCAGCAGCATGCTTTCCAGACAAGAGAAAGGATGAGAAAGCATCCTGGAAAGGATACAAGTTTGACAATTTGTTTTCACAATACATTGTTCGAAAAACTAAGACGAGTGGAATCACTGCTGCGCTCCTTCCTCAACCAGAGCTTTGGAGGGCTTTGGAGGAGGCTCCACACCTTCAACAAATCAACAAAATATCGCCACCAGGGCTTGGAACTTGCTCCTTTACAAGCACTCTATCGTGTCTCATTATTTTTGGATTTCAACCATTTGTTTGCAATTTGAGACCTTTTTGGAAAATAGTGGTTTTGCCCTGCAGGGCCTCACTTGCGTCATTGCCGTGGCAGATTTCATCGATTGTGGCTTTGCTGAGAACGGATTGGCCCTTGCCGGCTGCCAATTGTCGGCCACGCTTTGCTACTGATCTTGACCATTCTTAACCCCTTCAAAGCCTTCTAAGGTCCTGAACTTCCTCCACACGTGAATCTCAGTCAATGGCCAAGGAACTGTCAGATGCTGTCAGATGTTTACTTTCTGTCTACCACAGCTGCCCATCGCATGTCCGACATGTTCCGTCGTTTGTTGCTGGACTTGCTGCTTCATTGACTCTTCTTGCTGGCCTATGATGCTTGTTCCTTGCTTTTCTCCCAGGTTACGTGAATTGCCTTTCATTGCAATTTCCATGACGGATGTGCTGTGGGGATCAAAGGCGCGAGGACTGAGCAGAGACTTGCGGTGTCCGGTGTCCGGAACATGAATATGTTCCAAAATGCTTGAATGTCCGCGTATCTATTTCCCACGTGTTGGACCTAAAATGTGATGAACAGATCGTGTCATGAGTCATCACGAGTCTTTGTTCTCAGCGACTTCAAAAGAGCAATCCACTAGTGAACCTCTCCCAACTCCCCGACCATCACCACGTTCTGTACCAAAGTACATTTTTGGGGCAACACCCTCATGTCTTTGTGATCACAGCATATCACAGCCCTCCTAGCCCCCGCCTTTGCTGCAAGGATTTTGTCGGGCAAAAGCTTTGACTGATCAAGCATGAAGCATGTGCTGTTCGGTGTTGTACTCGCAGTTTTGGTGCTAATGTAGTCAGTTTGGGAGTTTATCAGATAGAAATGGGGTCAGCAAGTGTGGCGTCCAGGTTTAGAAGTCTTCCATGCTGGCCATCGCTGCCCAGCCGCCCATCTTCATACAGATTCTCGGAATCAGCCAAAGGTTGCCCAATGTGCAGGGTCCGCATGGGTTCGCAGGAAGTAATTCAGAGCTTGGCAAGCAAGAAAATATGCAGCAAACCCAAACTCACCATCAGCATGCCAAGCTCTTAATATTTGTGGCCAACGATGCCACTGAGGGCATGTGAAAGTGCTCCAATCCATGGACAGCCGACTGTTTGACCGATGTCAATTTGGGTGTGAGATGAAGGTGTAATTAGGTGAAAAGCACAGGGAGAGAGCTGTATTGATTGAACATTTGAAGATTCTCTCACATTCTAAAGACATCCGTTGGTACCCCTCACCTCCGTGCTGAGTTGTGTCAGAAGTGTCAGGAAGAAGCTCACCCGTCGGAGTCCTGACCCACACAAGAGCACAGCATGATGCACGAACCAATTTTGTGGCACCAAACAGCATCCACCACAAAGCTTTCTACGTAGGCTGACTGACAAAGTAAGCCTTACTGTATGTCCTTGCAAGGTCATTCTGAACATGCTTGCTTGCTCAGTGCTCCCTCCCAAAGTTGGTGGGCCATGGAGAAGGGGGGGGCTGTCGTAGCCCACATTTGGTGTGTGACTGTACCTGCGCTTTTCGTCCATTCAGAAGCACTAGTTTACCTGATATACAAGGGTTGGATGTGATACCAATACAAATACAAGCAACACTTCCCCTACGTAACTTTGTTGACGATGTGGGCGCCGGCAATACCACTGGCGCCATTGATGCTGTCCAACCATCCACATTTGCTTGATTTCAGCTTTGGATATCAACTTGCTGTAATCCGGTGGCTTCAGTTATTCAGTAGGTTCAACGGGAGACTGATTGACGCTTTATGTTTTCCGTTTTGGCCAAGCAAGAGTATGGGGGGGTCAGATCCCGTCAAGCACCAGCCTATGAGCTGGCTGAACTTGAGAGGCAAGTACTACCAAAGGTGCCAAAGCAGCACCAAGACAATCTAGTTTCACGCCATGCCTGTGCTCTGCTTGTGGGAAAAGCCACAACAGACTCGAGCCACAATACGCTTTTGTTACCATTTCTCACGTTGACTGAGGATGATTGAATGTGTCAAGTTGTGTGGATCGAAGCCGAATTCACATGCTGCCTGTGACTTCTGCCAAAAGAGGTGGGAGAGAACACGGCATGTGACAATCACAGGCAATGGCCAATTTGACGATTTTGAATTGACACTCTGATGCGAGCTGACAATGGCTTCGATTGGCTGACCTTCTCGCATTCAGATGGGACTCGCCCAGGGAAAAGTTCAAGGCGCCCAAGCAAAGTGCAGTAACGTCCAGTCGTGAACAAGAACACCCGATAGCCACCAACACACAGAACGAAACAGAACCAAGCAAGCCTGAAACTAGTTGCGAGTAATTACATGTAATTAAATATGCTTCAAAACAGAGTTGCAGATTTTGTAAACGCGAAAGAGACCTTGTTTGAGTGAGCAAGGTCGATAGCAGCGTCTGGCCAGCAGGCCATTTTGACCATTAGACGGCGGCGGTTGCCGAATCAATCGTGTTTGTTTCGTTTTTTGGTCCACCCAAAACCCAGTCAAAGTCACTTTTGCGTTGCCCAGGCTTCCTCGGCTTCCTTTCTTGTTCCTGCGAGACTAGACTTCCTATTCCTTTGTCGGCCACTTGCGACGGGCCTTCGATGCACTTTCAGATTCAATTAGTCAGAGGAGAAGCGCTGTGAAAGTAATCAGTAAGCGCCCTTTGTTGTTTGATGTTTTCAATTATTTTTGGATTTTTGGCCAGTTCTTTTTTGCTGCCTCAAATTTGTCATGCTGAGTCGTGTGCCGATCGAATCAGAAGGAAGACTAGGAAAGGAGATAGACGTGCAAAAGTATTGACAGTGCTGAAGGAACACTGTGATGGAAGTGTTGCGATAGGCCAGTGATAGAATTTAGAAGCATCAAGAGACACTTTACACGGTTTACCGTTGACTCCAACTGCAACATTCGAGACTTGATGCGCGCTTGACAGAACAGAAAGGAAGGGATTGACAATGCAATCTTGTTTGCGCTGCAGCGCAGTGGACAACTCTTGCACAGCCAGCGGTTCAAAATATGATCCTGTGTGCATATATTATTTGTTGTGATACATGGCCCAAGGCACATTCAAGACGTTAACGGAAAAGCACCTGCAAAGTAGGGGAAGCTCCGGAGATGAGTTCCCAACTTGCATGATCTGCACAGAGGCAGTCTCCGGTTGTGGTTGCAGGATTCACTTGGCGGTTGAAACACTTGCGAGCCCCACTTCATCCATTGCCATGAGCCTTCAAACAGAGTCATTTTACAAGCACCAGACCAACTCTTTGCTTGACCAATCTAGGATTCATTTGCGTTTGTCGGGGCAAGGCTACACACAAGATTTGCAAGATGCAAGTTGAATCACGCAAATGCAGCCAAATGCAGCACACGTCGCCTTTGCTTGCTCCACATAATTACTTTGCGCCATGGGAGAGAACAGAAGACAGAAGTTTATTGAGCGGCAAAAGAAGTTTCATCGTGGCTCCAGCTTTCTGGCGAAGGCAAGGAGTGCGGTGGGTAAGTTTGGGATTAAGAACGAGAGGACTTCTTGACGTTTCTTGAAACAGTGTTGTGTTGTTCATGTCTTTGTACTTTACTGTAGGTATTTTGCGGACAGGAAGGCACTCCCTGACAAACGGCTATAATTTGGCTATAATGGCTTAGTCGACGAGCAACAGTGGCGTGGAAAGCACTGTTGCCAGGAAGCAGCAGAGTTCAAATGGCTCTGGAAGTGGATAGCTAACCAAGAATTGTTTCAAACAGATATAAGAGCTCTTTCACGATGGAATTTAAGCAACGGATAAAAAACTATACCGGCATAGACCCCAGATAGCACTTCAAGAAAAGTTGGATAGCGTGGCAAGAGCGGGAGACAAGCTTGGGAAAAGGATGGAAAAGGTAAACAAGACCTAGATCATCTTATAACAGCATCCGCGTCAAAGGCAAGCAAGAAAATGACAAGGCGGCAGCGGCAGCCAAGAGCGAAATCAGGAACAGAGACAAGCTTGGGAGACAAGGCGGCAGAGGCAGCCAAGAGCGGCCAAGAGCGAAATCATGAAGGGGGACAAGCTTCACAGACAAGGCGGCAGCGGCAGCCAAAAGCGAAATCATGAAGGGAGACAAGCTTGGGAGACAAGG